TCACGACCCCACAGGCAGACTTCAGGGAAGAGGCCATGAAAGCAACTGTGAAAATAAGGTCCCCCTGGAGCCGGGACAGTGAGACAGTCAGAGAGTACAGACCAAGGAATGCAACAGAAAACTTCCTGTGGACAGCAGCCCATCAGTATGCAAGGGGGAAGGGACTCTGAGGGGCTCCTACAGCAAGCACTCAAGCGCTGTTCTGAGTGACCTCTAAGGTCTAGCCAGGCAGGATAGGAAAAGAGAAACTTCTTAAATAGACTCAATGGAAAGAGAGATGTGGAGCACTCCAAAAAGAAATGGCCAGGTCCCAGAAACACTTTCCATGGCCCAACGGATTTAAAAATGGATCAGCTTTGTTGGCTCAGATTCAAGCCATCCCAAGGAAGGCACTTCCCGTGAACAGAAGACTGAAGTATGGGGTAGAGACAATCACCAGTCCCCATTTGTTTTCAAGACTCCTTTTCCAAAGCTCCCTGGAGAAAGGAAGTGAGGGAGCACGGCACGGCCCAGGACTCAGGATGCATGACGCAGGAAGAGGTCAGGAAATGTTTTCACAGAGATCGGTGAGATGGACACTTCTTCCTGAGGCCCTCATTCCCTTTCCACCCACTTATCACTGGAAAATTGTTTCCTAATACTTACCAATCAACAATCTTATCCCTGGTCTCAAGACTGCTCCTGACATCAGGGAGAAAAATGCTTTCTTCTTCAATAAAAACCACAGCGACCAAGGCAGGATTTAACAGTAAGACCACGACCCCAGGTCATGTGGCCAGCCCTGCAGCCCTTTGGATGGAGACAAGCAGCAAAGTGCAGGTTGGGCTGGGACCAGGGCATCTTGAACTTTCCACACCAAGCTTCATCTTCACACCGAACAATGGCTTTCAAGGAGAAATATCTAAGAGAACCACGACTGGGAAAAATTTTTGGCAGTATTGCTCTTACTGTAAAAGAGAGTAAAAGACAGTAATTTGGGGGACATTAGCAAATCTATTTCTTCAGTGGCTTGGGGAAGTAACGGAAGTGGGAATCTGGCTCTAATTTCTAAACTCTTCATAATAAAAACACCCAACAAGTGGAAGTTATCTGATGACCAACTCCATCCCTTCTCAACCCCTCACAGAAGAAAGCTGAAGTCTAAACTGACATGCTGCTGTGAAATGGCTACTGAGTGTTGGCAGAGGCTCTGGTTTCTAGCTTTATTTATATCAAAGCCATGGGCAAACTCATCTTGGGCAAAGTGATCCACAGCTTGGCACCCAAGTATCCTAAAATGAGGGTTGAGCAAGATGATCTTTTAGGTTATTTTTACCGCCTAACTTTCCATACACAGTCCAGTTACTTTAACCTGTCACCAAAGCACATACTGGAAACTGCCCTTGCACAAACTAAAACACCAGGCTGTTCTCTTTCCTGGGACAGTAAGTACTTCAGGACTTTTTTCCTGAGTAGTTCTATCTGTATAAGGCTGTTAAAATCCTCAGCTTAGGATGCACTGTATTAGGATGCTATATAACACATAGCAAGTGGTACTTTGACATTTAGATTAGCAGAATAATAGTTTTGACTATTGTTTGGTTCCTAAATATTTACATTTCCTGGACTACTGCTTCTGTGTATTTCCTAATATTGAAGTTCCATCGAGACAGTAATAATAACCTAAAGTGGAATTCATGTGATAAAGCACATAGGTAAACAGTTGCAGTTTTAAAACGAGGATGACAGAAGATGTCTGAAGTGAGGCTGACCTGGAGGCAGCCTACGCCCATCCTCTTGAGTGGGCGCATGCTGTCCCATGACTGCATCCACTTCATGTGGATTCACCGTGCACTTTATGAATTTCCTCTATAGGGTGGCCATGTAGAAGCATTTAAAATACACACATGGTTGTGATAAAAAAACAAACAGCCACCCTCAAATAAGTAACAAGATTACAAGTGAAATTTTAGGGGTGAGGGGGCCAGTAGAGACTGGGATAACGACAAAGCCCATATAAAAGTCACCTAGGAGAAACTTTGGACTCACTACCTTCTCAGGAATGTGTGGTAAACAAGCTGGTTTTCCTGGCACCAGGTGCTTTAAGAGAACCGTGGAGTTGTGTCTTACCTGCACAGTGGGAAGAAGGCACAGGAGTGTCTAAATGCAACACTCTTTCTAAGACAAGTCTTCACATGCAGGTCAGTCCTTACACTATGTTTTACTGGTACTTTTGTGGTCACCTGGAAATCTGGTTGACAAATCTTGATCTTTGGCTTTGCAATCAATTTCATGTATACATTAATTCAATAAACATGTACTGAGCACTGGGATGAAAATAAAACAAGGCCATTTCTATGCTCATGGAGCTCACAACTTGAGGGAGTTAGAAGTAAACACAGCAACACAGACTGTGACAGGTACTAGAGAATTCTGGTACACATTGTGGGGAAAATTTTTAAGTTTGAAAAACAGATTGGTCTTATTAACAGGCTGACAGTGAATAGTAATTTCACTAGATGCGGGTGCCAGATGCAGACATCCTGGAGTCCATTTCTGAAATACACTGACAGGTAACGGGACAACTTCTATCTCACAAGGCCACAGCAGACATCTAGTCATGAGATGAGACCCTAGAGATGAAATCTCAGCTCAGGGCACTTGTATTTTATCTTCCTGCCATATGTGATTATCTCCAGGGCCAGAGAATCTCATTTGCCTCAAAAACAAACTTGGTGCCACTACTATGCTCTTTTGGAACCACTGAGAAGTGAGTCAAACAGGTGGGACACCTGACACAACTGATGACCAAATTTGGAGGTAGTATTTCAAATTTAAATGTTTTTACTTGGTTGATTTGTCTTCATAATGGTGACAGTGCAAACCCAGTATGTGCATGTGTGTGTTACCTTCTTAAAAGCTACAACTGAGACTGAGGGGACGGGTAGTCAGCCAGTCTAATGCACACCAAAGGGAAGACAGGAAGGAGCTCCTGACACACTCTCATCATGTTATGGCATGTTCCGTCTGCTCCAGGTACGGAGGACAGTGGCCTGAGTAACACAAGTCCCTGCCCTCACGGAACTTGGTCTGTGTAGTGCAGCACAGACGCAGCTTATAAATGACTTTCTCTTTTCTCATTTTCCTTTACTTTGGGTTCCTTGTTTAACTTTCCAATGGTAGTGTTTCCAGGGACTCCGTTCTTGTCCTTTTCTACTCTTTTTTCCCTCTTGATACTCCAGAGAAATGGTGAACTGGCCGACATGCTGGAGTCATGTAGGCTTCTCCCTAGGCCCATATTTTCATACAGCTCAAGATGGGTTGCCTTGGTTCTGTCTGACACTTCAATGAAAACATGACCCAACTGTACTAATCCCCACTCCAAATCCGCTCTTTTGTGTAGAGCCAACATTACTAACCATCCAGCTGCCGACATCAGAAATATGGGAATTCTTTTCGATGCTTCTTTCATGCAGTTACATCTCATCAGTCACACAGTCCCAGTCCCTGACATGCTTGGGACTGTCACCTCCTTTCTACCGTGAGGCTGTCTTTCTAGAATTATGGCAATAATCTCCTAAATGCAAAGACCATGTGTGCATTTATGGTCTTCCAATGAATATTACAAAAGAAAGTGGAAAATGGTTGATATCTTTACTTTTAAGTGTCTTTGGTATGGTTTATAAGGTCCTCCATGATCTGATGTCTTCATTTCTGACCCCATGCTGATCTCTTCAAGCCCTACACTCAGGTGTATTAAACACATATTTACCTGTATGCCTATATACCTAAGATTTAGATAAATCTTCATCACCTATCTGATCAGCTTTAGGATACGAACTGCCGGCCCAAATTATATCTTACAGACTCCAATTATCCTTAGTGCCTAGTACTGGCCAATCAGATTTTTCTGTAACAGATTTCTTGATTCAACAAAGCAGCTCTGAACCAACCCAAAACCTGCAGCACCCTACAAAATGGTAAGCAGTCAACAGAATTTGCCTGGTAAATTAGTGAAAGGAAAAAAAGTTTACACTTTAGTTGGAGTAAGATGAAAAGGTAAGTTTAGAAATCTCCTGTGATCTTTTAATCACCAGTTTCATCATTTTCAGTGTCCTAAGCCATTTCCATAGACCTGACTTTATGTGATAGTGATGAAAGGTACGAAACACAACTTTTACCGTTTTTGCAAGCCTGTCTCAAAATTTTTCACCCCTAAAAAACATTTATCTTTGGGGTATCGAAAAGCCACAGTAGTTAAATATCAAAATGCCAAACTCTCTTAATCGAAGGTGTAACTTTGCCTCTTGGCTATTATGTGAACAGAAAGTCCCAAGGCACAGTGTGGGCAACCTGGTTCTTTTCTTTCTACACCTGCTTTTCAGCCCAGTAACTGTTTCAGGCTCTTCCGCAGGGGGCGGGTACTATGGGGGCGGGGGAGACTGCCTTGTTAAGTTTGTGTAGTTGTATGACACTGACCTAGGAGGAGGGACATTATGTTATTTTATGCAATTATTCCTGGCAATCCCAACAGAGTCTCTGGCTTGACTAGTTATTCCCAATCTCTTTTCTGTTAACGGGTTCTACATTGGACAGTGTTCGGCTATTGGGTCCCTGGGTCAAGGCAAGAAACCCAATTGTGCCGGGTCATTTCCAACATGGCTCATGGCCCATCTCTTACGTAGTGATCATATGTGGCCCATGGGAAACACCCACCTTAACCCCACCTTTTTTCAGTTGCTATAGGCTACATTAGGCATGTCTTACCTTGTCACCTTTCCAGAGTCAAGTGTCACTCCTACATTCCCACCAGCTTAAGATCACAGCCAAGGTCTCAAGGCAGTTCATTTGAAACATACCTCACTGTGTTTAAGAACAGAGGAAGTGCCCAACTCATTCTGACACAAGTTTTATCCTGACATCAAATCCAGATAAAGATGTAACAACTAAAGAAAACTACAGACCAATATCCTTTATGAATATAGATGCAAATATTCTAAACAAAATACTAGCAAACCAAATCCAGCAGCATAGAAAATGGTTTATGTAGCACAGACAAGGGGGATTATTCCAGGAATGCAAGGTTGATTCAATATACAAAAAAATAAAAATTAAAAAAAAAAATCCATCAATGTAATACAACGTATCAATAGAATAAAGGACAAAAACTATATGACAACCTTAATAGATACAGAAGAAGCATTTGACAAAGTCCAAAAGATAAAAACATTCAACAAACTAGAAATAGATGGGAATTTCCTCAACTTGAAGCATCTATGAAAAACCCATAGCTAACATCATACTTAATGGTGAAAGACTGAATGCTTTCCCCCTAAAATCAGGAACAAGGAAAAGATGTCCACTCTTGCCACTTATATTCAATATTGTACTGAAGGTGTTAGCCAGGGCACTTAGGCAAGAAAATGAAATAAAAAAGAATCTAGATTGGAAAAAAAGTCGAAAGTTTTTCTATTCACAGATGCATGACCCTGTAAACAGAAAATACTAAGGAACAAAAAAATAGGTCTAATAAAATGAGTTCAGAATAGCAACAGTATACAAGGTCAATAAACAAAAATCAATTGTATTTCTGGACACTTACAATGAATAATCCAAAAATGAAAATTAGAAAACAATTTTGTTTTTAATAGCATCAAAAAGATTAAAATACTTAGGAAAAAATTAACCAAGGAGGTCAAGACTTGTACACTGAAATCTAGAAAACATCACTACAAGAAACTAAAGGCCTAAACAAATGGACAGACACTGCATGTTCATGGACTGGAAAAATTTAATACTGTTAAAATAGCAACATTCCTCAAACTGATCTATAGATTCAACACAATCACTATCAAAATCCCAGGTATTTATTTGCAGAAATTAACAAGTTGATTTTAAAATTCATGTGGGACACAAAGGACCCAGAACAGACAAAACGATCTGGAAACAGAACAAAGTTGGAAGACTCACACATTCTAAATTCAAAACTTGCTACAAAGCTACAGTAATCAAGATAGTGTGGTACTGGCATAAAGACAGACATATAGAACAATAGAATAAAATTAAAAGTTCAAAAATAAAGTCTTATATATTTATGGTCTATTGTTTTTGACAAATGTGTCAAGACCATTCATGAGGAAACAACAGTCTTTTAAAAAAACATTCGTGTTTGTACAACTGGATATCCATATACCAAAGAATGAAACCAGACCCCTAAAGTGTACAACATATAAAAATGGATCAAAGACTGTTTTGTAAGAACCAAAAGGATAAGACAGATGCTTAGAAGATACAACCAAGAGAAATGAAAACTTATGTCCACATAAAAACTTGTACACAAATGTTCGTAGTTGTAGTATTCCTAATAGCCAAGAAGCAGAAACAACACCATATCCATTAACTGAATGGGTAAATAAAAGGTACAGTACATCAATACAATGTCATTATTCAGCCACAAAAAGAAACCAAGTACCAATACATGCTACAAGGTGAATGTACTCTGAAAACATTATTCTAAAGGGGCAAGGGAAGGACACAAAAGGCCACATATTGTATGATTCCATTGAAATAAAACATCCAAAATAGGCAAATCTATAGGCAGAAAGTAGATAGTGGGTGCCAGAGGCTGGGAGTTAAGAACAGGCAGTCACTCCTAATGAGCACAGGATTTCTTTTTACAATGATGAAAATGCTCTGGAATTTTATGAGGACAAATGCACAATTTTGAATATACTAAGAACCATAAATATTACAATTTAAAAAGGGTGACCTTTATGGTGTACGAATTATACCTTAATCAAACAAAGATGAGGGAAAGCACACCTCTTCCATTCTTAGGTGGATGAGGGAAGGTCAACACTTGCAAAATAAATCATTACAAACATTTCCAATTCCTCAGTAGACTTTCTCTAATTTCACTGGCAAATTTGGGGAGAACCCATCTCAGTCTCTCAGGATGTCTTGCAAGACATTGTCAAGTATCTGCGTCTCAATTTCGTTGAGTCCTGACAAGCAGTTACAAGCAGTGATAAGGTAGGATTGGGTATAAATCAAGCCCAGGGAATGGCAGGGCCAGGTCTGACCGAAGGCTGCACCCTCAACCACTGTGTACTATTTCACAGATATAGCCCCTTCCATTTTCTATAGTTTCTTGGGGACTGGAAGACAAGTACTGTATTATGCCAGGTCTTACTCAGTTGAGCCTAACAATCTTGACTGTGCAACTGATTTTTGGCAAAAGATACAAGATTTTAGATGGGCATGGCTGTGTGATTTTGGGCAAGGCACCTCTTGAGTCACAATGACCTATTCTGAAAGGATGCAAGATCACATATGGAAGGGACTCGATCTGCTCTGGAAGCTAATTCCCTTTGATATCTAAAGGAGGTCAACCTAGAAAATGTACAAAGCAGCTGAATGACTTGCATAGAAAACAGCACTCACTGTGGTGAGCAGTTTAGTACATAGTAGTGTTCAGCTGAGTGTTGCTCCTTGATCAATGTGAGTGGCCGTGCAATGGCAGAATGGTTTAAAATTCCAGGTCCCCTTTCCCCCGGGACGGAGGGAAAGAGTATGGCCACAGAGAAGATCAATGTAGAGGCTACTAGTTGTCTGAGCACACTAGGTCAGGGTGGGAAAGGTTAATGCACAAAAACATTTTCCTTCCAAGGCCTTAGTCCCTTTCATCCCTCTTACTGATCTCCATTTCCACAGGCTGAAATGATAGTGAGTACAAGGTATCTCTTCAGGGAGAAAATACTGAACCACTAAAATTCGAATAGTTAAATATAAGAAGTTTTTGGGAGAAGGAATGGAGGAGACAGGAAGTAATGTTTAATGGGAATAAAGTTTCATGAAACATTCTGCACACTCGGTTATTTCTGGTCATTTAAGTGCTGATACTGTCAAGCTGGAAAACGACAGCACTAAAACTGTGCCAAAGTGAAAAACAGACTATCTCCACCCTGAAGTTGTTTCTATTTCTGGCAATAGTTACTGAAAAAAGAGAAGCTCCAAAATAAATTGTATAAAGGACCTTATCAAGAACACCCAAAGATAACCTGTAAGAATTCCAGTTCAAATAAGAGCAGTGCCCCACGCGCTGTGCCACTATGGCTGTGTGAGCCGCTGGGCCTTGAGGGTCTTCACTGGGCAGGAGCTTTCAACTCTACTCTTAAAGGGCATTTGAGTAACACAAAGTAATGAAGCATGTCAAGTGAAGAGGTCATGTAGGCATGCAGGGAGAGATGCCTGCAATCAACAGTGAAAATGGACAGGTAGACAGAGTTGTGTCTGTACAAGGTCTCGAAGGCTAGACCCGGAGGTTTATTCAGAAAAGAACACGATTTTATACAGAGAGTATTAAAATTAACAAAACTATGTTCCAGCAGAATGAAGCAGGTGGTCAGAGTCAGTGAGGTATATTAGGAAGCTACTCAGAGCAAACAATGGAAAAAACCTGAGAGAAAAGAACTGCCAACTTATAACAAGACATGTGAGATTTCAGTGACAGGTGAAGGTGACAATTTCAAGAAAATAATGAAGAATGGATGGAAGCGAGGCTAAGATTAAAAATGTTCAGGTAAGACCTTTAAGTGGAAGTACAGGACTGTCCATTCAAGATGACCTGGATGAGCCGGGGTGGGAAGAACAGGCAGAGAAGCAGCAGCCCAGTTCTGGGTGTGGTGAAGGCTTCAAGAAAAGAGCTCTTGACTTTGGCAGTTAGGAAGTCATATGAGCATCCTTGAGCAATGCATTTTCAGTGTACAGCACTGGATTGGCAGCCTGCACAGAGAAGTCCAGCCCGTACCTGAATCAAAATCTTGCAGTGACTGTTAACAATGTCAATCCACTGAGCTGGACAAAAGAGAGAAAGGGCCTGGGACTCTATACTTACAAACATGCTCTTCCCCAGCACAAGGCAATTCTTTACACACTAATATTGTGGGTAAAAGGAAGCAAGGTGAGAGTTGGAGTGGAAGCTTTGCTTCTTTGCTGAGTCAAGAAAAGGTGAGAAGAGTACAGATAATCCTTGAGCTAATGGGAGGCCAGAAAAAAAAAAGTGAGGTAACTAAGTAAGGACCAAGACCACAGAGAGAATACTCCTGGGAGGGCTTCTTCCTCTTCAGCAAAATCCTTAAAAGGACCTTAAAATGTCACCACAGTCTTTAGGGAACAAGGATAGATAATGCCTAATTACAGTCCTCTGTCCTTTTTAATACAATGTCTGTGCCAATGGACAATGAATAACACCAGCAATTGTTCTGTTTGAAGGCTTGTTTTCAAATTTCTTTTTGATATGTAGCTCCCAGCAGAGGTATCTGAGACATACTTGGATTGCATCACACAATCAACCACAGTCCAGGAAATATACAATATTAGAACACACAACTTGTTTGCCAGAGCTACAGGGCTCCAGAGAAGTTTGGCTGATAGCTAATTTTTGGGTTTGAAATGTTTTGTAATACTACAAGGTAAAAGAGGAAGCTCACACTTTACCTAGAAATCAAATTAATTCATGGTTCAATTTTTTTCCCTAGAGAGCTTCCTGGAAATTTTGAACCAAAGAAAATGAAAATTATGTGAAAGACTATCTAGCCAAAAGTACCTTTATAACCTAACATTTGGATTAGAGGGCATAGCTACTAGTTAACATTTCTGTTTTCCTCTTCTTAAGACACTGCTTGTTACTGTGACTCTGAAGTAAAGACGGAAAAGGCAGGGATAATGGAGGTGATAACATGTCCAGAATGACTGATGCTAACTAAGCAAGCAAGAGCAGCTGGTCTGTACAACCAAAGATTTTCTCTTAAATATTTTTAATAGGTTTGTTTTTTATTTTTTTAAACTCTGTTTGATGTGAATTCTGTACCTGATAACCTGTACTCAACTGCCATTTAAAAACTTAACACACATACATTACAATTATAGACCTTCAATATGTAATGACAATAACACTTGAGAAGTGAAGAGCACAAGTTTTTTTTATGAATTTATTACATAAAATGTCCCCAGAGCATTTAGTCTCCTCTTCTCACTTTCTTAATGCATTAGAAGCACAGTGGGTGAGAGGCGCTTTACGGTGATTATAATCAAAGGAGGATCCTTTGCATCAAGGTAGTGTACAAAATAACATTCTAAAGGCCAGCCCAGGAAAACCCCATGTTACCTTATCACAATATGAAAAGCACTGTCTTTTTTCTTTTAAATCACGGTGGAAAATGCCACTGTTTTATTCAGTATTACACTACAAAACAGTTCTGTCTTAATTACTAAAAGAATGAAGATAATCCTGAAAGACATCCTTTTTCCCTTTCAACAATGTGAAAGGTATATTTTTCCTGCCAATTTGAAACAAATCATCAGATTGATCTGTGTCAGTTAAAACACTGAGGAACAAGCTCAGCACATTAAACTGTAGCTTGCAGTAAAATGATATATCAATACGTCTCTACTTAGTTAAAAATACATAATTCATTTATTTTATAATGCATCAAAAGAAACATCACAGACAAAGAAGACTAGGAAAGGGGAAACTACTACTTTAAATATCCAGTAATTTTCACCTATTTATACTTTTCTGTGGCACATGAAAGTAATCTTTAACATTTTTTGTAATCGAATTTAACCTTTGGGGACACCGAGTGTTATCCTTGAGAGTAATAGTCTTGATTCGTTTCCAGGTCTGCTTACTGTATGACTAGGGGACACGAGGCACAGCAGCCATCCTTTCTAACATGCCGCGACACTGAGCATGTGCCTTGAGAAAGAGTTGATTAAACAAGATGATGGCAACATAAGGGGAGACCTTTGGATTGTCTATTTAAAATCTAGGTAAAGTAATTAATAAAAAGCTTATTTTAAGTGCACTTTCACATGCTTTTATAATAAACAACAAACTTCCTAACTGTTGCAATAGGCTTGACTACCATATCATTTGGCCAAATGCACTTTCCCCAGTAAACTTAAAACAACAACAAGAACAACAAAAAAATCCCTGTCCTTTCATATACTAAGAAGGAGGATTGGCTACTGAAACAGTTCATTGCAGGACACATGAAAACGACATACTGTGGCATGAGTTGTTTTTAATTTGTTGTGCTGTTACTAAAGTAAAGTTCTGAGAGCTGCAGTTAAAACATTTCAAGTTCTCCCTTCCATCTTTATTGATTTGCAAGATTTTGCACAGAAAATTCTTTGGGGACTAGAACAGCAGTACTTGCATCGCACTGTTTTCAAGACTTCAAGTTTAAAAAGCAAACCGTTTATAAAAAAAAAAAAAAAAACAGAAAAAAAAGTTCCTGATTTGAGTTAGATACAGGGATTTAAAAAAAATAGCACATACTTGAAGGTTACATGGTCTACAAATGGTGGCAATGTTGTCCTTGGGAGAGTAGTTTTGTTGGTATATATATTTTAAATACTCAAAAAGGCTCAACCTCAAGCAGTAATAAACACAAGCAAAAGTGATTTAACCCTTAAAATAAATATTCAGAAAAACCTCTCTGTACATACAAGTGAAAGAATATGTAACACTTTCACGCGAAAAAATAATTATAATAATAATAAAGGATTTGTTCATATATGTAGCTGAAATCTGCTGTTCCAGCCCACATGTCCCCAATAAAGAAGGGAGGCACAGACACAGATGACTACTGTGGTTCACTATCTTACAGCCTTTTTGTACTGGGACACTATCACCACCAAATTTATCCCTCTTGTTATAGTTATTAAATTTTTAAATTTTTCTTTTTTTCTTCCTTTTTTGTTTTGTTTTTTGTTTTTTTGTTTGTTTGTTTTACAGCATGCCAAATCCTTTGGCATACGTGATGGCCTTCAACAATCTCTCTTTAAGTTTTTCTTTGCTTGAATATTCCGGAAGTAAAAGGACATTAAAGCAAGTATGAGATGTAGGTAACCTAAATAGAGAGAAAGGGGAAAAACAGGAAAATAATAAGTCATGGGAAATATGCTTAGTATTAAATGCTCCTACTTTTAGATGGTATATAAAGCTGAGATGGTTTGCAATGAAGACTATACGTTAAAGCAAATCATAAAGATAAATTTTTGCTGTGCAACTACCAAGAAACAAATTTATCTTTATTCTGTAAATTAATGCTAATGTGATGATGATGACGATGACGACGATGATGACGACAACAATGAGTTATAACTACATAATGTGTATTATTTTAGGTACATAAGTAACCCTTGTAGTTCATTTAGCTAAATCTTTTCACAACAGTTGGACAGAGTAGATATCACTAAACCCACTTTAGAGTTGAAGACACTGAGAGTTAACTTACTCTAAGGTGGAAGAAATATTCAAACCTGATTTTAGAGATTTCCAAGTCTGCTCTTTAATGTTTATCAGAAATACTGCTGGTAATATGACTATAAAATAATTTGATAAATTATAAATCAATTTACATTAGTATCATATGGCAAATAATGTTGAACACTAATCTAGAAATTTTATTCACTGAATATGCTCATGTAAAGTACTTAACCCCCCAAACACCAAGTTATTGAGTGGAGAGGGGATATAATTAAATACCGAAATTATATAACTGACGATTCTACCATAATCTAATGCTGAATAATCTCCTAAAATTCAACTTAACCATTCTCAATAGATTTCATATCATATGGCTTTTAATTAACAAACTGTGAACCAAAACAGAATGAATCATGCCAACCTGAACAACTGTAAACCAAAATAAGCCTCAAAATAACTTTTAACTAAGCCAGTTTTCTTAAAAGTTTCTTTCAAGAACACCACCAAAATATCCTCTCAACTAATACTTCATGTGATTTGGAAATTTCTTTATAAAAATCAAGAAAGTGTTTACAAACTACAAGGACAGTTCACACATGAGTAATGCGGAATGTAAGGTTTTGGTAGATATGTAGTCACAATTAAACAATTACCTTTCAGTGTCTGGGCCATTTTTGGCTATAATCATCTTTAATTTTCCTAGTCCTCCCACAGGTGCTCTGTCTGTGCCCGTTGTAAACTGCAAGAAGAGTCTTTTCTGATCATCAGTAAATGAATGAACAATTTCCCAGAACTCCCTAGTGAGAAAAGATAAGTACTGATTTTAGTTTCATTATAAACTAGCATATAAGCTTCTCATGTATGTTAAAACAGTATTAGGGGAAAGGATGAAAGTTAACATGAGGAACACTAAAAGATTCATTCCTGGCGATTCAGTAGCATACTTAGTCAAGTTTAAGGAAATATTTTTAAATATATAAAGCTTGTATTTATCACTACATAATTAACGACAGCAAAAAAAAACAACAGGCAAATCATGTCTAATAATAGGAAATCATTACGTAAGCTACATTATACAATAATATGCAGTCAGAAACAAAAAGCAAAATCCTGTGAGTTGAGAAAGACTAAAAAGAACACTGTAAATGAAGTTAACTCTTTATTCTCCGTATTTACTCACCCCTTACTCAACTTTTTGGGTCAAAGGTTACAGAGTTTAAGAATAAAAGAGAAAGACACAAAATAAACAATAAAAATACAAGCAAACAACCACATACTTAACATCACTAATACCAAAGTACATAATTTTTACATGAATTAGCACACTTCTATCAAGTAGCATGTATTGTGTAAGAAAGGAAAAAATTATTCTGACATTTCTATCATATGTAGTTATTTTAGGAAAATGAACTAATCCCCAGCATTCCAAAAACCTATATAGTAAATGCCGTGTTATAATGACAAGTTATTCTAATTTCTAAAAAAACAAAATGCAACCTTGGAAAAACATGACAAATTGTTATTCTGAGTTTAAAATGAAAATGCAAGCTCATGAAGAACAATCTTGGCATGCCTGTCAGGTATCTGAAAAACCAATATACACACTCACAACTAAAAATGCACTTGAAAGTACTTCCAACTAGGTACAGAATGCATTTTACACTCATTTGAAATGTTCTTTCTGGAATCTGGGCAGGCCGTGTTACTTCACAAACCAGTTAATTACAATTCCAGTTTTTGAAATTCTAGTATACTATTCTTTTTACCCAAATGCTGGCATTTTTTATTGCTTGAGGATCACTATGCTGACACCGATAAGATCAAACTGCGTCTAGACTCCAACTTTCACACATTCATCAGACTTGGCTTTCTCTGATCTCTTGCTACCTCCCTTCCTTGCCTCCAGCATCCTCCCCAACTCTCAGCCCCTGCAAACCTACTGCTCACTGTGCCGCAGCGGTAACGGCGCACAGGGTCACAAGAAAAACTGCGTACGGCACTCAGAAGCATCTCTCAGTTAAGAAGGAAAGGAATCAGACCCCAGTTTACGTCTTCCCTTCGCAGTCCTGGCAAGAGGAAATGACTGCTATAGCACTAAAGGCCTCTGGCAGGGCAGAACAGCTTCCCAGCCTTGGAGGGCCAAAGCTCCTCCCCATACCGCAGAGTGCTCTGCAGCCCAATGAACCACCATGCTTGAGGGAAAGAGCCAGGCACCATCCGGGAAGCAAGAGAGACCTAAGGAAGTGGCAGATAAGCAGGAGTTACAGGGATCAGTTCTGCTCTATTATTAGGAAACTATTTAGTTGCATTATTAAAAACAAGATCTTAAAAGAAAAGATTACTATTAATTCTACATGATGAAAAGATACTCAACAAAATTACTCTTGTGTTATGTACTTTGTTAAAATCTTGAATTAAACAAGAATGCATCTATTTAAAGGTGAAAGGGCAAAGAAACTTCCAGATTTCTAAAGTGGACGTTTCCTGGATCTTGTACTCACATCTCTGAAAATCTACCCACATTAAAAAAGAGAGAAAGAAAATAAAGACACCTAGAACCTCTGCCAAGAGTGAAGCAATACACTCCAAATGTCATGAAAGGGGGTAAGAGAGCAGCCATAGTTGGCAGAGTTAGTCCACAAGCCAACACCAGAGGAGTCCAGCAGGCACGAAGAGAAAAAACAGCACACGCAGAGCACGTTAGTGAGCAGTCACCCCGCCACAGGGGAGACCTACGCAGGGCCAGGTCACAGCACTGACAGCAGGCGGGTTAAAAGAAGGGCAACAGAAAAGTACTCGGGAGCAGAAACAGCAGCTCGGGAAGGTGCTGTGCCTGAAGGAAAGGACAGTCGAGTTCCTTGAAAAGTAGCTTCTGACCACAAAGGCCCGAAAGTGGCAGGTTAAAGGCGGCTTTAATTACACAGGATAAAACAGAAGTACAAGAAGACACTGGTTGATCCACATAAAACAGAACCATGTATTAAAGAAACTACCTCTCCTATAGCAACAGATAGGAATCCCTTTCACTAGGTAAGTGACCGCTACAACCAGCCCAAACTCCTCCCTGCTCCTCCTTGAGATCTAGTAATAGCAGCCAAAAAAAAAAAAAGAAGGAAGAAAAACCACAAAACTAAGACAATCCACATAAGGGAGCAAAACAGAATTTTGAAGTACAAATACAGATTTTATGACAAAAGTTCTGCAAATGGGAAACAAAACTTTTTGTCAGACTAAAGTACACCAGAAAAATGAGACAAAACTTGAACACATTCTACTACACCATATAAAGCCTGTCATATACCATAGTCCAACAAAAAGCAAAGATGCAACAGTAGGTAGAAAAGAACACCATTAATCTGCAAAACTTAGAGAAGAACAAAATAGGAAACAGATACAAAAATGCTCAAGAACACCGAAGGCCTGGCAATGTAGCTCAGTGGAAGAGCATTTGCCTCACACGCACCATGCCAGTCAATCCCCCACACCACAGAAACACACGAACACCTGAAGATGTATGCGTATGACTCCGGGAGGAAAGACACATTTATGCGGGGACCAAAGGAGAGAGACTATGAGAAAAACCTGTACTCATCAATGGGGGATAAACATGCCAGACTGGTACAGATGTGGGACAGAGAGGGCAAGACAGATAAGGCGATCTTGGAAGATGGGGACAATGATACAGTTGTTCTGTATTTGCTTTTTTGATTCTCTGTCTCCCCCACAGTAAGAGTAAGCTGGATGGGAAAACAAAAGACCCACAACAAAACTAGGTAAAACAAGGTACGTTCCACGAATCCTCCCAAATAAGTAGACAGTAACAAAAGCATTGAAATCTAAGGACCCTGTTGCTATCAGCATTCTTGTGGGTAGGAAGAAGGGAGGTAATTGAATTTCTTAGAGCCCAGAGAACAAGAGAATCTCAAAACTGCCACCCCAATGGAAAGCACAGACCACATTTGAGGATAGCAGCTCAATGACAGAGGACTACAGGATCCAGTTTGCAGACGACTGTAAAGGGACCCTGATGCAGTAAGTTCTTGAGGTGCCAAACCCCTCTTCCAAAACAAAATTCTCACTGAGGAGAAACTGCTACGAATTATATTCAAGTGAACCAGATCAAGGATAAGAAAGATAAAGCAAATTTCAAATATATATGGAGTAGGAGTTAAAGGAGGTACCATAATTCCGAAGTGAATAAAGCTATTATATATTATCATTTCACAAAAACAAACATAAAGCCTACCCAAAGAAAAACTATCGTGGCTCATCTCTGTCTAGAAAGACTGAGGAAGTCATCACACATGGAAAGAAAATGACCAACAGGAAAAAGGATCACAGTGAAATACTGGACCTTACTGTTATGTGCATGAGAATAATGTCCCCACAGAAAATGAAAGCACATCCAAAAAAAAAAACCACCAATAAAACAGATGAAAAAATTGTAAGTTGAGGTAAAAAAAAAAAATAGAGGCTATGAAAGACTAAATGAGAAATGAAAAATTTTAGAAAAGGGTAACTGAAGAAAAGTTTCAGAAGATGTGACATAATCGAGTAATTATAAATGAAAAAAATCATGTCAAATATAAATAAACTAAACTAAGAAAAAACATAAGAGTGGGGGAAAAACCTCTAGAAACATAAGTGAAGGAGAAAAATCTTAAGAATCAAAAAGTAATGAACCCCTGCCTCACACAACCCTTCCTAATCCAGGGATAGAGCACTGCCAGGCACTGGCAGAAATAATCCTGCTATGGTTGGGGCTGCCCCAGGAAGTGCGCTCCTGTCCTGGGATCCTCAATCCCTTGCTAGCCTAATGATAGCACACACAGGAACACTGCTGGTGATACCAGCAAGGGACATCCCAAAATGGGCACAAAATGGGCACAGGGCCTCTGTGCAATGTCCAGCCCAGAGGCAGCTGGAAGGGACAGTCTTCTCCCACCCAAAGACACCACATGGAGCTCGGTCTGGAGAAGCCCTCCAAGGAGCACCAGGAGGTATCGGGGCAGCCCCAACAGCATGAAATAAACAAAGCAAATGCAAAAGCACCAAAAGCTTTTGAACATTAAATCGTCACTGGAACCATAACCCACAAAAATATGCCAAGACCTGCATGCCAAATCTAAGTAAGATGACTGCCTGCTAAAGTAAAAAGTAAATAGGACCAAGAATCTCTTCACATAACTGCCAAAATATTCAGGACATAATCCAAGATTCACCTGTCACATCAAGAATCAGAAGATCACAGGAAGGAAAGACAATCAGCTGCCGCCAACACAGAGATGAGTAAGATATTGGAATTATCTGACAAGGCTTTCAGTACAGTCATCATACAAATTCTCGAACAAGCTATTACAAGTTCTACTGTTTAAGAAATGAAAACAACAGAAAAGTGCAGCAAAGAAACAAGGTACCATAAAAAAGCCAAACAGAAATTACATATCTGAAAAGTACAGTGAGAGAAAAAGTCACTGGATGAGTTCAAGAGTGGAGTGGAGATGACAGAAGACAGAAATCTGAACCAAAGAGAGAAAATGGACTGAGAAGTGAACCCAACTTCAGGGACATGTGGAGCGAAAACAAATGACTCCACATTCACATTGTCAGAGATGCGGAGAGAAGAGAGGAAAGAGGCAGGTCAGAAAGAACTTCAAGAAATAATGTTGAATTTTTCCATGTCGGCAAAAAGTGCAAGCCCTGAGGTTAAGCTGAGCAAATTCCAAATGGCATAAAGACATTCTTCACTAATACAAGGAAAAATAAAGTTACTTTCAGACAAAGGAAAACTAAAAGA